ATTATCGAAAACTATTTTTTTGTTGCAAATAGATTGCAAATACAGTTACAACGTTCCACAAAATCACAGACTTTGAATATTTACCGTTACGGCCGAAAAGCAAAATGTTTTTTATTTTACCTCCCTTTTATTAGCTCGGGATGTAACTATGTAATATTGATGCGCCTAAAAGATGCAGCGATTTATATTCTCAAGTTACATACCTGATGACAGTACGAATGGAAATTATAATAGGGAGGTTTTATTTTCTTAAACTATAATTTTACTATGGTTTGCTTTGTTTACACTTTGAGTTCCTACAATTTTATCGTAAACGACACTGTGCGTACAGAATTTCATTGTAAAGAGCAGTTTAAACTGTAGTTTTAACCCATGGTACAATATTTACAGGTATTGTCTTCTCAGAGAGCGCATATTCCGATCTGCCTTATTTGAAAAATATCATTGTTGCAAACACTAAAAGGTTTACTGTAAGGGATATCCCGTTTCCCTTAAATAAAATAAAAATTCATTCCGACCAAACTATATCGAAATGCACGCTTTTTTTATTGATAAATGCAGAAATTTTTATTACATAAGTTGGTGTTAAACATTTTCGTCTACGAGGCGCAGAAATTGCTTAAATGTTCAATTGTTCATAAAAAAATGATTGAAAAGCAAAAAAAATATTTTTGTAAGGCAAATAATTTTATTGTATAGTTTAATGTTTTTTTAGTGTGCACGCAAAAAATTGTTTCATTCGGACACTTACTTTCAATGAAAAATAAAAATTTCCAAAACACTGCAAACATTTTCAGTTGTTGTTTAAAAAAACTATTTGGAATTTTGCCAAAAAATTTACAAAGTGTACTTTTCGACTACAAAACTCGGTGCTGCCTGAATATCACTGAAAAATATTAATCCTGGTAAATTCGTGGCCCACTTGAGGAAGCCTTACCCTGGTGTTAAAATGATCGCTCATTTGCGGTAGCCGTATTTGCAATCACTTCACGATTTGCGGTGGTGATCATGCAACCATCGCTTTCGTTTAGTAGTACGCGTCTCGAGACAATGCGGTGTTCAGTAGCTCGTTTCTGTAACTCTTCTCTACCGATTATTTCTCTACTGGTAGAGAATATACGTCATTCTCTACTACTCATTAGCAGTAGAGAACAGGGCGGCGAATTCATATCTCAATTCGCCTTGGTAGAGAATTGTTACAGAAACGAGGTACAGATATAGAAAAAACGAGTATTGATGGAGTATGCAACAATTGCGCACGGAATGATATTTATGTATACTTTTGCTTCATAATCCCATATACTGTTTACACATATTTGGCTGTTTTTTTTATACTATATACTGGTTATGTAAGCACAAACTTTTCGAAAAATGGTCTCGCTAGGTGACGCCAGGGTCAAGATACTCTGACTTAAATACTGATACTGAAAAGCCGTATTTATACTCTGATTTGATTAAAATATAGTTGGGTCATAGTAAGACATAGATTTGCAAAAAAAATCCCTGGGTGGCGCTGAAGTTAAATAAAAAATATATTCGACATGTTTTATTTGCGTTAAAAATTCGTTTAAAAACAATAATGAAACAATTTTCAATGAAAATTTTGGTAGCGTTATGTTACGTCACGTCAGATACTACGTCTGATAAAAAAGAAGAAAGATGTTTACATTTAAAAACCCACTTTGTTTTTTTGTAACGTGAGGCCAGCGCATATGTTTGCTTATACATATATCAAACTCTCTACTATCGATTGTTGTAATTTTTTTTTTATTGAACAAAGGGCTACTTAACTACTACGCAAGTATAGAAAACCATTTTTAAAATATTGACTTTTTCATTTTATTTTACAGCGTGGCGATGAATAACTGTTACCCAGGTTTTTTTGAGAAATACCAGTTTTGCCTATTTTTCTTTCGTTTGTTTAATACCAATAATTTTCTTTATAAAAGTCTAGCACATTACATAACCAGCACCACAGAATTATAAAAATCAACAAACTTTAACAATTACACCCAAAACTTTTAAACTTTTCATTAAAATTTTGTTGGAAAATTTTAGGTATGCAGTTTTATAGTCTATTAAAGTGCAAATTTCAAGACGCTGGGAAATCGAGGTGATTTTTAATTATTTGTTGTGCATTTTCTTCCACATAAAGTATGCTCGACAATTACTTTTATATCGAAGAAAATGCTAGACTTTTATAAAAAAATTATTGATATTAAACAAACAAAAGAAAAATAGCCAAAACTGGTAAAAAACTTCACTTAATTTAATCATAGTTCATATTCACGTCTCGTGTAGCTGGCGCCATGCCGTGGTTGATGTTGTTGTGGTTGTAGCGGCTACTAAACCCCGCTCAGGTCAATTCATCCATCAACGTTTTCCTCTGTTTCAGCTAAGGGGAGGCCCAGGAAGTGCGCAATTTCAACAGGATCTGTCCATACGGACAGGGGCGTTAGCTGGGTGGGGTGCAACCTTATGTTTTAACTCACAGGTCTAAAAATCCTCGCAGAAAACGGAACTGTCACTATTTGTATAACAAAAACAGCTAAAAATGAAAATAAAAAATGCAAACCATTTAGTGTCTCTATAATTGCTTATGGGAAACAATACGAAGAATTAGTTTGCGTGCTGTGCATAACATACAAAAGAAAAAACCAAAGGAATTCGTAAGAATACTGCGACAATCTTCACAATATTCATCATCGTATATACTTACAAGTATGGAATCCTATGCCCCTTTTTGTCTATTCTCTTTCTAACAGCGGACGTGCCTGCCAAACAGCGGACGTGCCTGCCAAACTGAAAAGCATGATGGCGGCAGTGTTTGACAGGCACGTTCGACGATGCGAACGGCAATGGAAGGTAAGAAATGGAAGATGGATGACATGAGAATGAAAGAATTATGAAATAGCAGAATGTCGAACCAAAACGAATTTCAAAAATCTGACAATGCGAATGACGTCAAAATGAAAGAAATGCAAAATACCGAAATGTCGAAACAGAAGAAATAGATGACAGGCACGTGTTCAAGGGTTTCGTGCAACAAAAAGAGTTGTTGTGTTGCGCCATTCAATATTAAAAAAAAGTAATGTGGTTAAATACGCTTTTCTATTAAGTTGAAAAATTACATATTTCGCCAGCCAAAAAGTGTATAAATAAATATATAGCATATTGCTATAAGAATTATTTATAAAAACGGTACATGCTTATGACCTTATTCATAAAAAAGAAAATAGATGTAAAGTAACATTAAAAAAATCGATTTGCTTACTTTTTAAGAATTTGGGAAAAACATTTAACTAAAGTTTTTGTGCACCCATCTCTTTTTCTGTTTATTATTTTCAAATTTTTCTTTTCCTTAATACTCATTGAGTTTTCATTTACACCCAGCAAAAATCAAAATATTTTATAAGAAATTTGTTGACCGTTTCTCGCACACTTCTCTCATGCTTTTTTATCGTAGTTATTATTCTGTTGACATCTAAATTGCCATAAATTTTATGTTGTTGCCAATACATTGTTTTCCGGCGTTTCCTCTGTGAACTTTTATAACTACATTCATAAAAATATTACTAATTTTGGTTTATAATTTTTTTCCATCTTGTTATTGCTGAATATCAAAAAGGAATTAATAAATAATAAAAAGTTAGTTACAATTTTAGTGAATGGTTCTTGCAAATAATATTATTTTATGGTTGAAATGACTTGATCGCCGTCAGGAGCTTATCAACTTTTTTGCCAAAACCAAAGCAGACGGGAAGGAAAAATAGTTGTTCATTAACGATTTGTCTGAAATATCGTTCTTGAAACGCGTTACTGCTCACTAAATTTGTAAAAATAAAATTTTTTCACTTAATTGTTATATTCTTCCTCATTGTGGTAAATTTACTCATCATCCCAGCAGGGCGCAATCTTCTTTTCTATGATTATGTTATCTCTACTCAGAATTTTTAAATGCACTGAAATTCACTAATACCCACTTCCGCAAAAATCACCTTATTTCGTATTTCCTTTGTTAAAAGTTATTGTAAATCACATATTTTTATTGCCTTATTAATAAAAAATAAAAATTTTAAAAAGCTTTTTAAATTGCCGTTTACAAACATTTTCCAATTTATAAGCCTTTTTAAGTTACTTTATTGTTTATGAATAAGGCTATTACAAATTAGCACAATCAAAACACGTTCCTTATCGAAAAATTTATTATTAAGAAAGTTTGCTGTTCTCACATTTTCTTTCAACATCCAATTCGACTTTTATTACTTTTTGTACAGATATGTCATCGCCGCCAGGACGGCGCAATCTTGTATTCTATCTTTCTTGTCAAATATGCATTTAGATCTAACTGTCATACTACTATTAATGGTAACCATGAATATTCATTAAAATCGTTTCAATTCGGAATAAAAGTAATTTACATACTGCTAGTGTAAATATATTTTTTAATACAAACTACCTTTTTTAATTCTAAAATAAATCGACAATCTCAAGATTTATAAGAAAATTGTCTTCAAAAAATACGTCACAAATCATCCCTGTTGATATCATAATTCAAATGCAAATTAGAATAGAAATTTTGATACAAAAGTTTTTCCGCGATATTCATCATACAAATTTATCATCTTACTTGTCCGTATGTCGCTCTGGAAAGAAATATATTTTAACTGATATGTTTTCTTGAAAATAAATGCAAATTTACCTATTTTTTCCAACGGCAGGCACGAATATGATATTCAAAATAGAAGCAATGACAACGAATTTTACACACATTGTTGTATTTTAGCGCAAAACGATAAGTTTCACAAATATTTTGAATTATTGCCTGGAACATACACATTTATCGTTATTATTGTAAATGCAAGACTTGGCACGCATTTTTAATTTCTTTTTTATTGAATTCAAATGAATAAAAACACATTTTTCTAAAATATTTCTCAATTTACATTTTAAAGTTTTTTCTGAAACTTGAATGTAACTCTGTGAGGAGAATGAGAGAATTGAAAATCAGGTGATCTCAGCTGTTTTCAAATGTAAACAAACAAAATGGCGCTTTCCATACTTGTAAGCCTATACAATGATATTCATTGCCCCGGAAAAATCTGTTGATCGCTTTGCGAACATGTAGCCATCTTTTAAGAATTTATAGGAAATACAACCAACATATTTCCATTAAAATCTTTGCATGAAGTCTGTGAATACATATATGTATATAGAAAGGAAATAAATACAAAGAAAAATGAACTAGTTTGCTATAAAAGTTGTAAATATATAGATTAAAGATCTTTTTAATCTAAGCGCGAAAAATCTTATTCAGGCAGGTTCCGCAATTCACTTCCGAGTAAATTTCAACAAAATGCGCTTTGAATTCAAATTGGCAACGGTTGAAATTCATTCGGAAGTGAATTGCAGAACCCGTCTGATTAAAAAACTTTGCGGATTACTTGATTGAGTGTACTTTAAGCATTTATTATTATAGTCAGATCATTGTTGAAACCAGTTTTGTTAAACTAATGGACTTGATGTTTTACTAAGTTTTCTTTGAAACATACGCAAATTTAGAAACTAAAGTACATAATATATAATTGATTTATTTAGAGCTGTTTTATAAATTAATTTACAATACGTTTACAAATATTAAAATATAGCACTTAAGTGAATCATGAATACGCTTCTCACATTTTAAGGTTAATTAAATCAAAGAAATCCATTAAATAAACTTACTAAATAATATAAATAAATATTTATTTAATTTTGCTTTATACATATAATTATTTTTAATCATGTTATTTTGACGGTGACAGCTCTTTCGTTTGAACAACGTTAAACAACGGAAATAATGCAAACTTATTTCACAATAATTTAAACTGCCGCAATTGGGGATCGGAAAACTCGCACGTGATCGTCGAGAGGCCAATGCGGTTAACTGACATAACTTGCATGGGCTCGTGGATGTTATTTCAGACTTAATTTCCACGAATATGAGACATAACTTCACTAACAAAGTTTTTGACAAGTACCGAGTAAATAACCCTTATTGCGAGTGTCGACTGGCAGTAGATAAACGACTATTATTCGATTATCGCTTTTCCATGGTATTGTCAACGTCGTCGTCTCATTCAATAAGCGACTGTCGCTCATCCTTCTTCAACTATTTTTTTGTAGAAGGATGATCGCCTATGAGTTATTCACATGTCTCGAATACCAAAAAGAGTCGACGCACAGTGTGTCGTGTAGAACAAGCTAGGTGGTCAAAATTATTTACGGATCGTTTTGGGGTATATTTAAGATGCTGATTTTCGATATGCTATCGTTTTTTTCAGGTTGATTCCTGTGTGCGATTTATTGCGAATTTTGCAAAACTTTTGGTTGCTGAAATTCAGAATGCTGTATTTTCCATAACCATGGGAACAATTTATTTATGCAAACGAATATGGAAGCTTCGAACTCGCGCAAATGGGAGAAACATAGTGTGGTACACCCTTGTTTACGCCTACTGCGTAAAAAATGTATTTATAAGAACTTTTTTTTCATTTGTTTTATAGCCATTTTGTTGGAAATCGATCAGTTGTCATCGTATCCATAATGACTGATACCCCTTGATTTATAGCAACAAATCTGGCCTTATAGCAACATGATCTGGCGGCAGCTATAGTATATTATTTATGAAAAATATGACTCGGCGAAGCTAAGTACATAACATAAGTGTCCAAATTCGAAGTTCTTCCAAAGACTTTGAAATAGCAGGATATAAAATGCAGGATTGCTCGTTACTCATCTCCCACAAGAGTATAGTTTAGTTAGTAGTATATTTTAAAGTTATTTATACACATGTAAATAAGAAAAATCTTAAAAAAAAATAGCAATTTTCGGCGAGTTATATAGCATTGTTTCTTCATATCTCTTTCAGTAGCTTTGGTAAGAGCGTGCAGCTTAAATTTTGACTTAAGAAAGCTATAGAGGTGAACATTTCCATCACGTTTGCCGAGCTTCGAAAAATTCTGAACTTTTAATATAGTGAATACGCTCTGAAATAAAAAATAAAAACAAATAGTTGTACTCTAATGTTTTGTATAAAATACATATTTTTATAAATACAAATGATGCTGTTAAAATATATACAAAATCTAGCCCCGTGATATCTTACATACTTGCATTGGTGTAAAATGATAAAAATATATATATAAATTTTTTTTAAATTTTCTAAACCCATTTTCACAATATCAGAAATAGTCCACAGTATATTATAGTTGAGTAGATGTAATACATACAACTAGAAATATGCACCCCGATTATGGAAGAAAACTACCGGGAAAATTTTTCTCTCCCCCCTTTCCCGTATTCTGAATAAAAAACCTCGGGGAAACATTTCTCATCCTCCATGCCTCCTATTCCAAATTGATTTCGAAAGTGGAGGATTTTTTCCCGCTTATAAAGTAGGTATTATGGATTACAAAAAGAGCGAGGAATGATTGTAAATTTTTGAGAGTTATTCCGCCTAAAGCACCGAATTTTTGTTTAAAATGCAAGTTTTTATTTATTTTCTATGAAAATTTGCATAAAGCTTAGTAAAAACTTATCTATTAAGTAGGTCAAATACAACAAATAGGCGCCAATTGCAGCTGCTTTTGGACTTGATGCAGCCTCACTCCGATATTACGCGAGGATTTCATAAAGGCAGCAAAGAAGAGCTTGCGAGATTTTGGCGTAAGGCGCAACAAGAACTGAACTATGCAGGGCCTCCATGTAAAAACATATCGGAGTGGAAAAAGGTAGAAGGGAACTAATATGCGTTTCTGAGGATGTACATATTTAAATTTAAATACGAAACACATTTCAGGTTTGGGTAGGGATGCAAATTTTGAGGAGTAACATCGATACATCGATGCTTCGATGCATCGGAGAAATGAACGTCGATGCTAAAATACATCGCCAGAAAAACATGTATATATCGATAGTTTCCGTTGTTTCACAATTTGTTAAAATTTTAAATTATTTTTAATTTGTTTTTTGTTATTTTTATGGCCTATAACAATTATGTTCAACAATTTTTATGAGCTTGAGGCCGTTTTTAGTGAAAACTTATTGTGGAAAAGCAGCAATAATTTGAAAAAATGGTAGAAGTGATAGCAATTTCGGAAATCACCACATTTCCTCATCAGACTTCTTTCAGTAGGATTCGAACCGACGATCACCACTGACTCAGCCAGTTGCCTACGCACTGTGCTAAGTTTGCCTTGTTAATTCTTGTTGCTTATTTTCCACTATTTCACTTTGCTAAGCCAACTACAATCA